CCCCCCCCCCTACAGAAAGAATTAGGAGTTGCCCTTGCAATGGGGCTACTCTGCATTGCAAGGGTTAACAACACACACCTAAATTTGCAAGCAGATATAAGGACACGTTTGTTTGCAATAATACTTTTGCAAAAAAATAGTTTTGAACTGCATTTATTTAGTTTGATAGGTAGATATTGTGCTTTCCACTAAGCACCACTTAATACTTGACACATACAATACAAAGTGATACAAGACAAGAATTGGGTACAAAAGTCTGAAGTGTATAGATTCTTGTATACATTTAGTTACTAAAACAAGAGTGCATCATTCATTGTATACATAAAGTGCAGCTTCACCATCGTTTGCAATATTTATTGGGCATTTAGAAATAGTGTTCCCTTTATTAAGCAGTCACCACACTTTGTATATTGCAGTAAACTCCATAGTGCCAACTGAAAGACAAAAAGAAGGAGTCCCCCTCACCATAGGTTCGTTTGTATTAGATCTGGCACATACAGAGCATAACACCTTTCCCCATGAATAGAAGGCATTTTTTTTGGAACCAAAACTGTACTTTGCATAAATTTGTCCGTATCATACAATTTAGCTGCTGAGCTTAGAAGCAGGCATATACCCAGCATCACCAAGCATCGTCAGAGTTACATCACCATTGTGGCGAATCACAAGTTCAGTAATGCTGCCATGATGAAGATCCATGCGCAGCCAAGCTTCAGGGGGCAGCTGGAGAGCCCTAGGGAGGTGAAGAAAAAATTATTATTATAGCAGACATTTTCTCCAAGACAAGTTAAATCTAGTTTTTGGTTTAGATAAGCTTAAGTGTAGGCTCATCATTGTTATGCTGTAGAGCTATACCCTGCCCTAGAACTAGCACCACTCTAGTGTGAAATAGTGGAAATCTTTAGCATCGTAGAAGTATACGGCCACTGCTGTGACCCAATCTATTGCACAGCACTGTTCACCAGCATTGCACAGGCTTGAAGCATGTAGTAAAAGATCTTGATAAAATATGCACATGAATAGCCTTAGGGTTAGTTCACACCAAGCACGTTCCAGGAGCAGAGCAGTTACAGAATGGATCAAAACTGCGTCCAATGTATTCCAATGGTATTTTGGGCTTTAGTTCACACCGCAGCGTTTAGTTCCAGAGCATGAAGAAGAAGAAAAAAAAAGCCCAGAAGGCATCAAACACCACTGCACTGCGTGTGCAGAAACTCATGCAGATCTGGTCTGCATTTAGAGTGAACAAGCCCTTAGACTGCAGTTCTGAGTATCACCCTCACTTCTGACATACATTACGGTAAAACAGCATATACAAAACAAGATAGTTTTGCAACAGTGTAAAAGAAGACGGATCTTCTGGTTTATAGACAGGAAATGCTGTCCATTACCTGCAAACAATGTAGCGAATAACGTTATCATGGCAGACTATGATCTCATAGCCGTTTTCATTCTGTTTATAGTCAGCACGGTGAATATAGTTTCTAAATGCAGATTCTATACATGGTCCATCCTTAAAATACTGGAGGAAAGAAAGATTTCCAGAACAGATTAAAACACATTTAACAATAAGCAAAGTGTAAACACACGTTAGGAGGAGCCACAAGCTAGTGCAAATATTTCTCAAGTGTATTGCAAGTAATGTCTAAGGGAACTAGTCAGTTTCTCCCTGGCCTGAAGTAAATGGCTCCTAGTAATGGCTGTAGTTCCACTTAAGCTTCATCCTTCATGCGATACACGCCTACTTAGAAGTGAGAATTTGTGGTTTACTGCAGATACAGAGGCACAGGGACATCATGAGGTCAGTGGACAAGACTTTGCCTTTCCCTGTCCCATTCTGGCCAGGAGCAGGACAGTAGAGATGTCACGAGGCATGGTGTCACCTGGAGCACACTGTTACCTGCCGGCGGCCATCTTTGTGATGGACGCCAGGTATGTCGCCGGGTCCCTTCTCTTGTGCAGCTGTTAGGCTCTTGGTCCATGACCGACGTCAAGCTTGTAAGAACCCATATGGTTTTCTTGAAGGTAAAGAAATTACTCGCACCAAAATTTAAGCAGTTTCATAGGCTACAGGTGCGCACTGCGAGGTCTATGGTCTCCTAGTTTTGCCCAAACTGTTAGCCTCTGGGGTTCATCTTTGCATGTTGTAATGTGTTTGTAAACAGTTCATTTTTATATTAGAAGTGCATTCCCCCCTCCCCTTTCCAACTAGAAAGACTGTTCTTATCAGTTGTGCTTTATTCATGTCAGCTTTTCAAGTTAATGCATTAGAACATAGCTGGTCACCGAGGTTCAGCGCAGAGATTTTTTTAGGACTCACCACAACATCTGGCTTCCAGTGATGGTTTTGTGGATCTGGTCTAATGGGAGCCCCTTCTTTTAGGGGGGGGGGATAAATGGATTGTGTTGACATTCAGGGTCAATGCAGACATGTTAAAAGATTAACACTCCTCACCACAGATGCAAAATAGTAACAACATTACCCATATGAATAGAAAATGAATGACAGGAGACCACACAAACAAACCTCA